TGCGATCTCGCACAAACTCGGCGCGTCTGGATAGCGGTCGCGCCGAGCGACTTATTCCCGGTTGTTGGAGTAGGGTATCTTCGAAATACAGGCCCAAGTCTTCGCAGGCTTCAGAGTTGGGGGGGGGGGTTCTTGTGTTGACGCTTGTTCCTTGTCGTAGGGCGTCGAGCCTTGGGCGTGCGGCGTTATCGGGCCGGCGTTCCCGTCGTGCGGCGTTATCAGGCCGGCGTTTCCTGGGGCTTGTGTGGCGTTATCGTGCCTACACGGGGGGTCTTGTGCACGGCGGTTATCAGGCCAGTGCGGTCCTTCGCCTAGGCAGCGCGTTATCGGGCGCCCACCTAAACGGTATACGTTTAACGTGCCTTTGTTCCAGCACGGGTCTGTGGGGTGAGGGGGGGGGGGGTGAGCACCCGAACCAACAAACGACGGGGGGCCGCGATATCGAGGCGGCTCTACTTGCCGGCGCTTGGTGGTTCCCCTGGACCTCGAAGAAGACGGGAGGTCTTTGTGGTTCAGAGAAATTTCGGGACTGAATCCTTACCCTATCCTATGTCCTTGCTACCGGCTACTCTGTACTACTGCTTGCTAAGCCTACCGCTCTGTACCTATCATTACTTCTGTCGTGCTTGCACTACCGTCCTTCAACCTGATTTGCGTGGCATAATCAAGATCTTACCTCGGCGCGTTTTGGTCGGCGGGGTTTAGGGTCGGCGCGTTTTGGTCGGCGGGGTTTAGGGTCGGCGCGTTTTGCAGAACCGGGCGCACTGTTCGACCCGTCGGATGATTACGCGTCGCACTGGATTCTGGCACCGTGTCTCACAGCCCATCACCCACGCCGACTTTCCGTCGAGCTCGGCCCTGCGTCGCGCCCATTAATCCGCGTCGAGGTCCACCACTCGCGTCCCGGCGCCTTCTTCCTCCGGCGCCCGGCGCGCCCACTTCTTCCGCGGGGTACTACACCACAATGCCTTGATTGTCAACATGAGCGAGCAGTTCTTCATCCACATCGAGGCTAGCATCCGCGTAGAACTTCAGACGCGAGCCGTGGACCGTGTAATGCTGGTTCGTGACAAGGTGTCGTATGTCGAACAAGTGGGGTGCGGTGTTGACCACCTCGAACGGACCGACCCATCGGGCGAGAAGCCTGTCCACAGACAAGCGAGAGTCGATTCGCGACCAAAGGACGAAATCTCCTACGCTGAAGTTGCACTCAACGCCCTTGGAGCGCGCCATGTTCTGCAGCCGGTGCTTCTCGCTAGTTCAGCGACAATTCTTTTAGCCTCGACAAGCTCAGCAATTTTGAGACTCATCTTTGCTAGCCGCTTCACACCGTCATAGTTTCCGACGTGCTCACACACTTTTAGCGTGATCTGATTATCACAATGCAGCTCCGGGACCATTGGCTTCATGCCTATCTCCGTGAGCAGATTCTGCGCCCACAGTAGGTCCTCGACGCTCTTATTGGCCGCAACCAGTTCCGACTTACACGTATCATCCGTGATACGATCCTGCTTCTTGCTCTAGAAGCCGAAGCTGTAGCCATTCAGTTGGAGCACATATCCCGTAACTGATCTCCCTGTGTCGATTTCCGCTGCTTGTTGCTTGAGGTGCTTGTTGATTGCAAGTTAAAATGCAAAGTGAGAGACTGCATGAAGCAGAAGCTCTTTGCTCTACAACCTAGCTCTACAGAGGCTGCATCTAATGGTTGGCTCTAACCAACAAAACTACCAGAGTAAACTTCGAGTAATCGCTGCAGGCAACAAGAGCCAGAGTAATCCTGAATAATCACCACACTGCCCCCCTAAGGATACGCTGGAGCTTCAACTTGGCCACTGACTCAGTGTCCAGCTGCAGGTCACTGGCCGAGAGCTGCGAACGCCGCTTGAAATGCTTCGTCTTCGCAGGTCTGGACGTAGGCAGCAACGGGCACATGAACTTGAGCTGCCAAGCTCTCAAGGGACTCCCATGACACGAGTAGCTGCCAAATACCATCGATGTGACGGTGTTGTTTGATTGTTTCAATGCCGAGAACCATGCTGTGGAGTAGCGCCCTCGCAGAAATCTCGCGAATGCGATCTCGCACAAACTCGGCGCGTCTGGATAGCGGTCGCGCCGAGCGACTTATTCCCGGTTGTTGGAGTAGGGTATCTTCGAAATACAGGCCCAAGTCTTCGCAGGCTTCAGAGTTGGGGGGGGGGGGGGTTCTTGTGTTGACGCTTGTTCCTTGTCGTAGGGCGTCGAGCCTTGGGCGTGCGGCGTTATCGGGCCGGCGTTCCCGTCGTGCGGCGTTATCAGGCCGGCGTTTCCTGGGGCTTGTGTGGCGTTATCGTGCCTACACGGGGGGTCTTGTGCACGGCGGTTATCAGGCCAGTGCGGTCCTTCGCCTAGGCAGCGCGTTATCGGGCGCCCACCTAAACGGTATACGTTTAACGTGCCTTTGTTCCAGCACGGGTCTGTGGGGTGAGGGGGGGGGGGGGGGTGAGCACCCGAACCAA